TTCGTGAGCTCCCATCCCTTTCTATGCCTGTATATGTTCCGGTCTAGTCTGAACTGGGAAGCAGCACTGGGGTCATGGTAGTGGGGGGTGAGGAAGCCTCAAGGAGCCAGAGGAGTATAGTGTGCTTCATTGATGCTTTACTACGCCCTGGTGACTAATCCCCTCCCTATGGACCCTCAGTGGGGATATTATTCCACTATCCACAGATGGGCTTTGGGTCTCAGCTCCAGCCCCCCTTGTTCTCAACAATATGTTTTTGTTATGTGTCTGCTATGATTTGATTCCAGACTGCTGTTTCTGCACAACGAGATTCTTGACAACTTTGATCTTTTCTCCCTTTATCAGGATGTTACCTACTGGTCCATTTGGGAGAATTTTCATTTTCTTTTTAAATTGAATTGAAACCCATACTGAAACTGATGTTTTCATTTTTATCAGCAAATATTTCAAGTCCTCCTAACTTTACTGGTTCTTATTCTATCATTTGGGATTTTTTTGTTTGTTTCCCCTCACACCCTAGCATTTGGTTTTAAGAAGACTTTAGAAGATATTTTTGGTTTAAGGTTTAAAGGACATCCTGTAGAAATAGTTTATCCAGCCTCTATGGTTCCAGAAAGTTTGGCTTCTCAGGGAATTTGAAATTCTGTATTGCATGTTTTCCCTTTGGATCAGGATTCTGAACAATGAATGCAGCTGATTAGTGAAACCAGTAAAAAGAGTCATCAGTAACTATGTGGTTTCAAGCTGTATGGGACCCCTTTTCTCCACTCATTGTTCTGCCACTTGTGAATTGTCTTTAACTGTCTTAAGACTTTTATTGAAGTAGAGAATTTGCAATCTGAGCAAAAGTCTTGCCATTCATAGAGTAAATCCACACTAAATAATGTGGTGATGGATGAAGAGTCTCACAGTTTCCCAAAGCAGATATAATGAAAAGCTACAACCGAGATGCAGTCGTTTCATAAAAGTGTGCTACTTGCATATTTTCTTGAGACCAAAAACTTTATGGACTGAGTTATACAGAATGGATGAAGTATAAAGAAATTGGTACCAGTTATTTTTTGATAGCTTATCTGTTTAGTTCAGATATCCTGTTACATACTTATTAGTCATTGGTGAGTTGATTCCAACTTTTGGTGACCTCTGAAGTGCAGAGTAGAGCAGTTCCAGAAAAGGGAGAAAGGGTGGAAATGCTTTATTACTGCAGAGATGAACCTCTTTATACTGTGTCTGTGCCTAGAATTTTAGAGAAGCTATACAGAAAACCCCTTTATCAATTGCATTTTTATTTGGCTTAGTTGGTGTTTGTTTTTCATTTATGGTTTTATTTAGCACAAATAAAACTGGCAAATGGGCCATCTGTTCATTTTCTTCGCTGCGCAGCCTGGCATTGGGGTTGGTCACTCTGACGGCCAGTTGAGCTGCTCTTTCTACGATGGCTTTGCGATTCTTGGAGGAAACGTTGTGAACAATCGTTGCACAGTAAGATTTGTTGCACATCAACAACACTTCCAGCTCCTTGACGTCGTGGACCAGGAACTTGTGGAAGCCACTGGGCAGCATGTGCTTGGTTTTCTTGCTGCTCCTGTAACCAATGTTGGGCATCAAGAGCTGGCCCTTGAATCTTCTCCTCACCCTGTTGTCAATGCCTCTGGGCTTGGCACCAGTTGCACTTAATCTTGACGTAGCGGTCGCATTGGTGCCGGATGAACTTCTTGGTCTTCTTTTTGACAAGTTTAGACTTCACCAGGGGTCTGAGGGCAGCCATGATGCCAGTGGGAGATGGCTGTTTCCTCCATAGGTGGCACCAAAGAAGAGAAGGGAGCCTTAGTTTGGTTTTTTTTTTTTTCTTTTTCCTTAGTTTGGTTTTATAATACTTTCTTATGGAGATTTTCAGACTTATTTAAAACTGAGAAAAGAATATATTAAGCCTCTTTATACTTAACATTCAATGACAGTTTTAGATTATGACCAGTATTATGATTATTGCAGGTAACTAATTGGCTTCAAGACAATAATCAGATTTAAGGATAATTATTATTTTCCATCAAGTTACTAGTGACTTACATAAGTTCAAATAATCACCATCATCTAATAATATAAACTGCTGTGTTGCAATTCTACTCTATTTTAGCATGGACGCTTCCTATGACTTGGAGTTAGGCACGGGTCTCCAAGTTCTATTTAATTGCCCAGCATTTATTTATGAATGGTAAGTAAGAAACCTTTAGAGAATGGTGTTTGTTTAAAATTACCTGTTTGTTTAAGATTATCCGTTGCTTCCAGTGCTGTTTTTGGCCTTCTGTCCTATTTTGCAACAAAGAGCACAGCCAAGGATTAAAGCACACTAACTCTGCAATTCTCTTTTTGTGTTGTTTTTGCTGCTGATGCTGTTGGTTGCATGATTAAATTTTTCAAGAGATAGAGCAAATTATTTTCTTATGCTGTGCATACTGATTTGGTTTATTTCTCTTGTGCACTAGGAAATGTACAGATTATAACTAAAACTCTGCTAAAATCCATGGAAAAAGTGCAAGGTATGAAGGTCAAGGAGACGAAGAAGGATGATAATGAAGGACACAAGCATGGCAATGAGAGTGACGGTCTCACAGCTGGATGCAGCCAATACCCAGAACCAAACAAAATCATGACCAGTGATGAAGTTTCAGAAACCAGCACGTTAGTTTCCCCAGATTCTTTAACCTTTGTGGACCCTCGATTAACAGAAGCAACTTCTAAAGAAGAAGAATGTGAAGAATTAAAACCTTGTTCTTCTTCATTGTCATTGCCAGAGAACAGTGCCATTTCCAAAGTAGACCATGGGAAGGAAAAGTTGTACAAATTAAACCATGACTGTGAAGCAGATGACAATCACCAGCAGATTCTTGACCACCATAGTGACAAACGAAGTTCTACCCATGAAAGCCCCATGGCCATGAGCAGTGTAGTTGTAGAGCCCTTGAAAGAAGGTTCTAAAGTTTCATATTTGCCATCACACTCGTCTGATCTAGAATCTGGAACAATATCCCTAGAAGACTTTGGTTCAGAAAGTGATATTTTAATGAAGGGATCTGCTAAAAAGACTAACACTTCTCATTTTAATCAGGATGATCTTAGCACAGACTTGGCTTCCAGAAAGGAACATGAAGAACAGCTTTTGAGCTCCAGGAGTGAAATGGAGCTATGTTCTCTTAATAACCCTAAGCAACCAGAGAAGGATGCTAGTGGTCATTGTTCTGATGAAAAAGAGACTGTTGAGCCCCCCCCAAAAAACATCAATAACTATCACATTCAAGGTAGTGTCCATAAAGAAAGCGCTAGTTCTTTAATGGTCAACTCTGTCACTGAAGCCACAAAAGTAACATTAAAAGAAAGTGATTTGAGTATCACTACAGACATTCAAGGAAGCTTGACAAACCATGAGAACCATAGAGAAACTTTTGCTAATATTAGCCATCCGGGCAAACAGTACCAAGAAAGCAATTTTGCCCCATTGATACAGATTGAAGAGCCAGAGCAGCCAACCACTATAGATCCCAAAATGTTAAGTGGAAAGCGTGATAGTAAAGACACGAACTCTTTAGTCAGTATCCAGCAGAATCTGGACAGTAGCGCGCATTTAAATGAAACATTGTGTAGTGAATTTCACTTTAAAAGAAAAACCCTTGTGAACCAGTTACGTCCTCTAAATGAGCTATCAAAACTCAAGAATGATACTATTCAGTTACCAACACTCCTAGATTTTGATAACAGGCCTGAGTCAGAAAAAACTGCTCCGACCTCCGAGGGTAGTCCACATTCAGATGAGCAGAGCCGTGCTTGCGCAGTGAATGGACTTTCCTGTACTGATGAACTAGCTGTAAGCACAGAACGTGAATGTGTATTAAATCAACAAGTGTCCCTTAATTCTGGAGACCATGTGAAGCTGCCAACTGACTGCATACTAAATAAAAACAAAGAGATTCCTAGAGCAATGGGTGAGGATTTCTATCAGACCCATCTTCGTCCATTAGAGGACAGAGCACATGCCATCACTGATACCCAAACCATTCCCATTAAGACTAGAATGAAAGACATCTCTCTACTAGGTGACAAAACCTGTGGTGCCTCCTCTTCAAACAATTCCAACTTCAACAGGAAGCCAGGAAACCGAGAAAGGAAAAAAGGAATGACCAATGCAGGAAGAAATTCCAGGCTTCTCTCAAAGAAGCAAGAAGTGACTGTGTTCCTGAAAGAGGTCGTGGTCAGGGAATGCCAAAACGCTCCATCCCAGGAGAAAAACAGCAGTGGGTGTGCAAGTGAAAATGTGCCAGAGGCGGCCATGTGTTCCACTTGCCCTACTTTGGAGCCCAGCAAAATCATCCCGAATGCCGAAGGTTCTTCGATGACAAAATGTGAAAATGCACTTCAGCCCAGTGTTCATCACTCCCAAGTGAAGGAGCCAGAGAATTCCATGGCAAGTAGTGCTCATAAAGTGAGTTACACAGAGGAAAGGGAACTGGGAGGGCGAGAAGCTAAAGGTAACATTGAAGAAGACAAAGTCGGAAAGGAAATTACAGCAGGCACATTAAATAATGGAGCCCTAAACAAAACCATTTGTGCAACCAGTTACATCAAACACGACGAGGAAGTAATGGAAGGAAAGAGGCAGAAGCCACCCGATTCGGCTGTCTTTTGTAAGCATAGCATTTCTGATTGTGTTATACAAGGACTCAACCAATCTGTAGACATTCCAAATCCTGAAAAACTGTTGGACCAGTCCCCTAATTTATTGCCCAGTTTTAAGAGCATGACACAACCAGAAGGACCTCCAGGCCAGAAGGAAGGTGAAGTCCTTGACTGCCAGAGGAACCAAAGCAGACCAGATGCATGGAGAAAGGAAGAGAAACCAGCTAAGAATACCCCGGATGGTGAGCAGAAAGAGACTGCCACAGAGCCTAGCAGCGAGGGAAGCCACAATCAAAAGGCTCTGATGACGGGTTCAGGCAAAAATAGCTCGCCCTCTTTTAGTACTCCAAAGAAAGTTGATTCTAAAGGTGACTTTGAAAATAATCCTGCTTGTAAAGACTTCACAGACAGCATGGTAGACCCTATCTACAAAGACTTGATTAATAAGCCTGCAGAAGGCATGCTGGGTGGAAAGGCAGCTGTTACACTTGACGACAACAGTGCAAGGCAAGATAAACCAGCATTCAGTAAAACCTCAAGATGTGCTTTGTCTCCGCAAGGAGCGCTCCATGTTGCACATACAGGAAAGCATGACCAGACTTCAGATACCCACTGTGCTACTTCGTCTCCAGTGGACTCTCTTGCAATAAAAAAATCACGTGAAGAGAAAGTAGGCCTATCTTTTCAAGGTTGTGAAATGAAATTATGTATCGACTCTTGTGCTCATGAGCCAACTACCGGGGTATTGGATAGAGTGAATGTGTCTTTAAATTGTGTTCATCCTGAAGAGAACGTTAAAGAAGCATCTCTGGAAGAAATGCACGTCACGGACAAAGGATCAAGACTAGAAATTAATTCTGTGTTTGACAAAGACAATTCCTTTGGGATTTCTTCGAAGGATTTGATGTATTCTAGATGCCAAGATGAGACCTCTACCCCCCAGGGCAATCTATGCTCCATTCATAGAATGCCTTCATCTCTGTCTTCCCAAGACGTTTCTGAAAGTAATGTAAATAATCCAGGTGGGAAAACAGACTTAAAAGACCCCACAATCCTGTCTGAGAAGAAGGAAAGACCCTCAAGGGATATGAGTAGACCTAGTGAAGGAGCCACTACACACATCAGGGTAAAAAAGGGTATGTCAAAAGTTTGTCACCCTGATGATAGACCCTTGCCGTTAACATTGGAAACAGAAGCTAACGTGAAAAAGGAGAAAGTTAAGTGTGAGCCAATGGGACATAAAACTGTGGGGGATCCATCTGAAGAGAGGATGGCTAGAGAAGATGGTGATATTGATAATATGAACCCGATGTCTCATATCCACTTTAAATGCAACAGAACGCTTGGTGATGCTGAAGAACAACACAGGAAGGTTTCAGACAAGCAGTTGCAAAAAGAAGAGGAATGTGTGCATCACACAGAAACACATGCTGTTCCGGAACAGTGCACACAATCTAATAGGTTGTCTGATAAGGTGCAAAACAAGAGCCCACCCAAGGATTACAAAGATGAGGCCACACTGATGAAAAAAATCCCTGTAGCAAAGATGACCAAGGCCAACACGGCTGCATGGTCTCAGAAGTTGAAAGACCCAAAGGTGGAAAGCGTGTATTGTCCATTGAGCAAGATCATCGAGATGTCTGCAGGCTCTTGCCTTCCTGGCACCCACCAGAAAGCACAAGACCCCCGTCCTGTGGGGTATGATGTGATCCCTGGTGCCTTTGGGAACACTTCACAGCAGAAAGGAGCGTTTCCTATAAAGAAGCAGCCCCATCGATCATGTAAAAGAGTTTCTTGTCAGGATCAAGTCCAAGTGGCAAGAAAACGAAATAACACCAGAAATCCCGCCTTGTTAAAGAGTTCCTCAGAAACCATCCCAAAAGAACACAGACTGCTCAGCTCATGTGCTAGGTCTGTACCTGCACAATTACCTGAAACAGTAATGTCCAAGAGCTTACTTGACCACATACCAAAGCAGAGGGCTACTCGCTGCCATCTCTTGAGGAGCCTGAACTTCAGGAAGCCTACCAAAGAATCAGCCTTACTAAGCAAGCTGTCCATCCTTGCCCGTAAACTGGTCCCAGCCACGAAAACCCAGAAAGTGAGATACTGGCATTGTTCCTCCGAACTACTTCCAGTGGCGAAAAGCTACAAGCGGCTGAGATATAAAAGGTTCCTGGATGGATTTTCATATAATACAATGCAGGTGAATCCATATATGGCAGCTAATAGATGGGATAAGAAGCCTAACAGTAAGCCTATGGCACTTTACTCTCTTGAAGCCATCAAAATGAGCTTCATAGATCTGAGCAACAAGATGCCGTCCCTGTTGGGTGGTGCCGAAATCCTTCCGATATACTTCCATGTGAACTCAGGTTCGGATTGCGTGGCCGAGGCCGCCAGGACTTTCCCTGAGCACTGTGCCCCAACAAGGCTTGCCTTAGGAGAGGCCCCCAGGTGCCCATCTCAACCTCCCAAGTGGACCTTCTCTTTCTTCTTCTCCCACGGTGGTTCTGGGACGGCCACATTCAGGGAAGACCCTGGCCTCCAGAGTCAGGCCTGCTCCCAGGCTCCTCCAGCTCCGCTCCAAGACTCTGGTGGCACTGCCATTGTCCAGACCAGAGCAGGTTTCTCAGTCTTTGGCCTTCATACACTGTTAGCACTTTGTTCCCCTGGATGTTACCGGATCTGGACAAAAAAACGGAACTTCTCCAGCCACATGCCTACCATACAAAGGTTCTTCATGACACAGTTTACACAGGGCTTGAAGGGGTTAAGGTCTCCTGCATCCATAGCAGACAAAGTCTTCTGTTCCCTGCCCTACTCAGTGGGCAGGGTGCTGTCCATTTGGAGCCAGCATGGCCCTTCTGCCTGCCCCCTGGAAATCTCTGCTCTTCATTCTAATTACAGCAAGTGGCAGCCAAGTCTGGGCCCTGCAAGCAGGTAAATCTGTCCCCTCATCTTTGCAAATGTCTTGTGTCTGTCGCCTGTCACTTTGGAGAAGAAAAGGGGGATTGAGCAGGCCCAGAAATACGAGGTTATATGGAGTCCCTGCATATCTCCATTTTTTATTTACCTTGCCACATCTCTGCTGGAAAAATGCCGCATTAGTTCTTAAGTATAAGTGTAGATTTCTTTAGTTTTCTTGCAATATCTACTCCTGTATTTATACAATTCTTTTATTTATATTCTTCTTCAAACCACCAAATCTTTTGAGTCCTGTATCTTATGTTGCTTCCACTTAGCAAAGCACGGACACCCAGTACAAGCTCTAAGGCTCTGTAAAGAGTGAAAAATAATGGTTCATAACCATATCTTATTTACAAGATGTAAACAAGGTAGCACCTAGATCGTTGCTTAGCTTGTAAAAGATGCAGAATGAATACTTATTAATAAATGATTGAATTATGTAGGTATCACCAAATCTAGTTGGATCTCTGCATTTGTTTGTTTTTTCAAATTACAAAGTCGTCAAATACTGATACTTACCATAGTTTTAGGATTTACAAACATCAAAGTGAACTGGTAAGGAGTTGTGATACGGCCACTGAGAATAATTTCACCAATACCCTACTACCTCCTTCTTAAACATATACGAAGAAAAAGAGTTGGACTTTATAGATAAATGCTGTTATTCATTAGATAGACAAATTTTAAAAAAACCTTAAAATTCTACTTTCTATTGCTGCTGTATAAAAATTAAACAACATTAGAATTTCAAATAGCCCAGGTGAGACCTTGCACTCTCTTATACAGTAGAGTAATTCTGACAATAAACAGCTGCTAATGTAGTTCCCTGAGCATTTAGGCAAAAATAAATAAATAAATGAAAGGCATGTTGGAGCACAATGCAGAGCCTGAAGATTTGCTAATTACAATTGAAAAAATAATTGTTAGTACAATGTTTAGCTTTATAGTCACTAAGAAAATAATCACTCCATATAACCCAGCCATAAAAATGCCTTATAATAAATCATTGTTTTAAGTAATGATTCTGTTCTCATTGCCTCTCAAATGGAAGGGCAGAAGGTGATTGCCATTGATTCCCATTTGACTCTAAAGGTGCTATGGCATCATAGTATGGTCTTAGAATTTAGAAAGTGTACTCTTTTTCAAAACACACTATGGAGTATTTTCTAGGATGGTAAATTGGATAATGCCAGAAAGCGTCACATGCTTTTTATAAGAAGATAAGACAAGGCACCTGAATTTCTCCCCCTCTAATCTAAATATCAAAAGACTAGCATTTGAGTTGAGTTATAGCTAGAGCCAATATCTCGTCATTCCTGACTCAATCACTTTCCTTTTCAGGGTTCATTTTGCCTCTCTCTCTTTTCTCAGTACTCTTCAGGGAATTCTGCCATTGACATAGAGCATTATTCTAGATATCAAGATGATCTATTCTTTTCTAGTCATTAAACAAGTCATATTTTAGAGGAAGTAGATTGTATTGTCTTTTTAGTTAAACCTATCCTGTTTCAGGATCAGTAGAAATTGATGAAGGTGTTACTTTGAAAGGCACAAGGCTTGTGAGCGCAGAAAGAGGCCGAGATGTCGGAGCAAAAAGTTTTGAACAAATACTATGGGCTGTACTTGGACTCCTCAAAGATCCCCAAGCTCAAGCTGCCCAAGGACCGGGAGTGTAAGGTGCGGCTGACAGCCCCCTTCAACAACAACAAAGGCACACCAGCACTCCAGCATTTAGTTATGAAATCACAGCTTAATGATTAGGGAGCCAGCCCTGAGGGCAATTTCAAGGTGCACCTTTTCTTTCTTTCTTTCTTTCTTTTTTTTTAAGTTTTCACTGCTATTTTTATAAGGCTGTAGAAATTAGCAAGTTTTATTTTAATAGAATTATGTAATATAGAGCTGAGCAGTGTATTTTATTTTTAAATTACCATGTATACTCGTGTATAAGCCAAGTGTTTCAGCACATTTTTAGTGCAGTTTTTGTGGTGAAATAGGTGCTTCGACTGATGTTCGGGTTGGCTTATACTCACTCATATGAAAATAATATATATACGGTATATATTTTAAAAACCCTTAATATACTCACTCAATTTAAAGGACAAGGTTCAAAATCATTCCTGTTCACTTCCTTTCTTATGCTACTCTGCTTCGACTGATGTTCGGGTTGGCTTATACTCACTCATATGAAAATAATATATATACGGTATATATTTTAAAAACCCTTAATATACTCACTCAATTTAAAGGACAAGGTTCAAAATCATTCCTGTTCACTTTCTTTCTTATGCTACTCTTCCTATCTGTCCCACCCACCCCCGCCTCCATTTAAATAAGAAAGCAATTTATTGTTAATATGATTTCATTCCATTGTTGGGCATATAATTTTCATGTCTGGGAGGTTTTTAACTTTCTGGGCTGAAATTTCCTATCTTCTTAGGGTTCTTTCTAATTAAGTGACAGATGCTAAGTACCCCCAGTGGCCATCAAAGCCTTTCCCATTGTTATATTGCGCTAACTTTTTTTTTTTTGCGCTAACTTTTTGCTTTCATACTTTTGATTTACCTCAGCCACACCCTGTTACCATATGTGCCTCTTCCAGGCATAGAAGCTGCATGTAGCACCAGAAGCAACCCGATAAGGTAAGCCTCCTATAGTGCTTGGCACATAAAGGCTCGTCAAATGTTTATGCGTCAGAGGGAGAGTAGGTAGTGTGGGTCAGAGATGGCACAACACTGGCCTCTTGTCCTCCTTCAAAGTCTCCACATCGCTAAGGTAAACATCTCTAAGTTTCCTATGTGTTCATTACTACTAGCATGTAAGCTATGTCATCAATATGATTTTTTTTTTTAAAGTCAAAATATCCGTCCACACATGTTGATCCAGAAGTTCCTACAGGAGGTCCCTTGCATATTGGTCATTAGCTGCATTTCCAAATGGGATTGACACATTCTCTGAGCAGTGTTCATTTGTTCTGTTCATAAAATGTTGGATCCCCCCTCCCAAATAACTGTCTTCTCCTTATAAAATTGTACAAGGGGTTGACAAGATTTTTTCTGTTTTATATGTAAAGAATTGTACAAATGTGTACACTTGCAAACTCAGGCTATCTCCAGAAGTGAATAGAAAGCAGAGTGACTGGGAATTCCATTCCTTAGCCTTCGGCTGGATGTAGAAAGAAGTTAAAGGAGCCAGACAGTAAATGGACATATCTCATATATCTCTTCTGTCTTTCTCTCCATGGTGCTAGGCTAGAGCCTTCCTTCTCTGCCTTGGTACCAAAGCCTTGCGTGGTAACAGAGACAGCTGTCAGCAACCTACTGCTTTCAGCCTCTGCGTTCCAGGTCTCTGGATTCGATGAGCTGGATGGTATGACAGCAGTGTGCCCCCGACCCCAGAGCAGTCCTCCAGAACAGAAAGAGGTAACTGTGCAATGCAGGAGGGGTAATGTGGCTGTTGTACTGATGCTGTCTTTGATAGGCACAAACCCGCTGTTAAGCTGAGTACTGGAGATTTCCAAGCAAGAGATGTTCCTGCTTGGCCACTCAAGGTACTCAGGGTCTCTTCAACTACATTATGCTTCATAGCCTTCTGTATTCACTAGTGTCATAACTCTGCATAGATAATTGGATCAGAAAGCTGCTTTAAGCATTGAGATGAGTGAAACGATGGTATTTTAATTTGCAGCATCTGCACCTCCAGCAATTGTAGACTTTCACATTGATAATCTCATTATCTGCACAGTTGTTGCTGAAAACAATTAGCAGGAGGGTGGGGAACTATCTTATTTTACTTAATTGATCATCTGTAAACTCAAAGGATGCTTTGAGTGTCAAGGAAGGTGACTTTGCATATTCAAAATGTCTTATAACTTGTAAATCTTCTTGTGAACCCTTCAAAATAGGCTGAACCAGAGAAGAGGCCAAAGAAAGTGTCACAGATTCGCATCCGGAAAACCATTCCTAAACCAGATCCTAATCTTACCCCCATGGGCCTACCTCGACCCAAAAGGTGAGCTCCTTCTCTAATACAAATTAATTTCACTTTGATGGAACATAGTTGGGCTAAAGATAATGGGCATATATTTAGAGTCATTTATTTCATATCTTGGAAGTTATCTCAAAGAAACAATTGTTAATGTGGTCAAAAGATTTATGTACAAGTATATTTAAATTTATCCGTAAATTTTCCTGCACTGTTTATGTGCCTGGTTTTGTGCTATCCCTTTGCACGTGTAATCTTAATTCATCCTCCAACAGTGTTGTAAGGTAAGTAATATTACCCCCACGTGTAGGGGAAGATACTGAGGCTTAGCGTTAGGTCAAGCTTCACCCAATTCCTCTGCCCACGGCCCCAACATTATGCACACAAAATTGGGGAAGGCTCTAAATGCCATTAGGGAGAGAATTCTAGTTTTCTGGGAAAATTCCAGATCTGCTATTAAAAACTAAATTTTCAGTGATTTTTTTTTTTTTTATGACATAAGGAATTGCTAACTATGATATAAAGTAGAAAGGGAAAAAAAGACTATCAGATTATTTATGTGGTGTGACTATTCCAGTTTTGCAATTTTATGTTATCTGTTACATAGACACACCATAAAAATAAAAATTTTAAATATCTCCACACTTTGATCCATCCTTCATTTCTCATAGGTTAGATGAACCCTAACAATAGTCTGTTAAGAAACCCTGGGTAAATTATTTAACTTTTATGAGTTTCATGAGCCTATGTGTAAAATGTGAATAAAAATTTCCCCAAACTTAAGGTTGCTCTACAGTTCAGTTGATTAGAAAAATGTATGCCAGATCCGTTAATGTGTGTCCACACAGCACAGAAATGCAAAGAACTAGTTCATTATGGTGGTGATTGATGCTTTCCTTTTTCCACTTGAATGTTTCTAATACGGTGTGTTCTATCTTGTAATTGTGTTTTTGTTCACCTATCATAAGTCTCTTCAAAAGATGATTACAATTGTGTCACTCTCCAAGGTGGAATGGCACATAAAAGGAACTCGGAGTCAGGGTCAACTGTATTCCATCCTACACCTGTGCAGATGTGTAACTTGAAAGACCTGGTTTCTAGGAATAAGTAGGAATTGAAAGGGTTTTAATAGAATATAGCAGTGTTATTCAGTTCTTCCATTTTTTCCCCCAAAGTTATATGCCCCCAAATTCACAGAATATTCCACCAAGTTATAATTCTTGATCTATCACCTAATTTCTCTGAGAGTAAAGGATTGAAAAGCATTTGCCTTGAGAAACTATTATGGTACCCTGGTGTTAGTAGCACTTACAGTGACCGTGTTTGGGAAGTGCACCCAAAAAGTTATGCAAATGAATGTCAGATGCCGATAGATGTATGAGAGCAAGTAAAACAAAGTATACAAATGTGGTTAAACATATTTTCTACAGTCAATGGAATGTTGCAGGCAAATTCTCATAGTAACACACTGGTCTTAGCCTGCTTAGGATGCCTTAAAAAAAGGTTCAGTATAAATAGTTCCTTTCATGGGAATCTGCTGGACCAATTTATATTAAAAGCATAGAAGTCAGCTCAATTTTATAGCAAGTGCACCTTGGAATTCCCAAGGGGTCACGTGACTAGCAGGTTTTTCTTAAAAACAGAAGATAAATCTCAAAGACTTACTAAAAAGATGTTTTAAGAACATGAGAGTGGTATTGGTGACAAAAAAAAAACTGATTGTGGTCGCAATTATACGATACTGGTTGATGTGATTGAATGATATGATCTCTGTATTAATCCCAATAAAATGTTTCTGGGGAGAAAAAAAGAAAGTGACATTGGTGAGAATAAAGTGCCAATAAAGTTGCACAGAATTATTTTCCTTTATGGTGGCTCTATCATCATTCTTTGTGGACAGTAAAAGCTGTCCTATAAGAATTTCTTTGGAAAACCTTACCCCTTCTGTCTTACCACCTGATTTTACCCTTTTAGATTTATTTTTGTTTCCCCAATTCAAAGAATACAAGCATACAGATTGGGTCCCTGAAAGATGTCCATTGCCATTTTGATGTGATGTAAATAGAATTGCTCAGAGAAGGAGGCAACATGCTTGGTAAAGTGGGGGGGGCGGGCAGCATAAAATACGAAGGCCTTCAACGAGATGGACTGACCCAGTGGCTGCAACTATGGGCTCAAACATAAGAACAATTGTGAGGATGGCACAGCACCGGGTGTGTTTTCTTTCTGTTAAACAAAGGGTCATCTATGAGTTGGAACTGACTGGACAGTACTGAACAGCAGCCAATTGAAGAGCTCAGAATTACTCAAGGAGGAGTTAGTGAGATGGAGACGCTGCCTGTAGATGTGTATAGACCTAGATAGATGATATATATGGAGACATAATAGCTTCACATTTTGATATTTTTGTTTAATAAAGATTTTGTAACAACAATTTTTGACTTTTCATTTGATATGCTGAACGACGGTTGAAAAGTAAGAATTTCAATAAATTTGTTTGCTTGTATATTTACTAGAATTCATTTTTATGTAAAATATATATTTATGAAAACCTTGATATTGCAGATTTGCTGCAATAAATTTATGGAAAATATTTAATATATAACTTATTGGCAAATAATCTTTATTTAAGCCTGTGTAGGCCTAATCATTTTTACTTGCTATCAGAAAAGGTCTGACTTTCCTTTCCAATTGTGTTAATTAAAAAAAAAAATTGTGTTAATTTTCATTTTGAGGGAAATTATACAAACCACTTAGAAATAAATCTTGGAAACCATCTTCTTTGGTAGCTTTCTATAAGTCAAAAATCAAAATTAAAAACATGTACAAATAATAAGAATGTACTGTTATAAATTACTAAGATAATCTAAAGCTATTTCACATTGTTTAATTTACAATAAAGTGATAAAATGTATAGGTGAAATTATGAAGTGAGGAATGTGATATGTAGCATGATAAGTGTATATGCATGTATCATTGAAACTTATTAAGCTTTTAGGGAAAAATTAAAATGTATAAAATTCAGAAATCAGTTTACTTAAACCTCATGATTGCTGCTATATTTAATGTAGAAGAAGAATGTATTACTACAAATTAACTGCCTTAGGCAGCTCACCATATAATTTGTTATTAATAGGATAGAAATAATATAAAATAAGGTGAGAATTTACTGTAATTAAATTAAAAATTACATTATATGAATTAATAAAAGTTCATATCTTAACTAAAGGAAATTGCTTATAATTGTTTGCTGTGGATTTAAAGACTTCATGTTACTAAGAATTGAGAGCAGGCTCAGTTTAATACTACATTGTTCTAATTCAGCAGTTACAACTGCTACATTCAGTTTAATACCTGAATAAGCTATATTTTAGTGTTTGAAGACTTTATTGTGAGATCTCACTCTTAAGTAAACATTATTTAATGATAATTATGGGAGGAACCAGACAAAATCCGTCTGACAGTTTCATCTCCCTATCTGCCGCTTGAAGTGCAGACATTTCCCCTGAAGTGGTGTGGCTAGTTTAGCCGCTCCAAAGCAGAGGCAGGAAAGGCTTCATCCAGAAGGTATAGCCGTGGAAAGATCCCAGCAGTGCAAAACAGACGGTTTGGGGTGTCCTGTTTGAAATTAGGAAACATATACAGTATATACTGTCCCTTGGGAATTTGCACTTTGGGGAGGCAAATATCGATGTTTTGCATGAACTCGGGTTTCAGGGTTGCCACCAGAAACAACTGTTGACCCTTGGCAAGCAAGTAGAACCTTGAGCCAGTCTCAAGATGCTTTTATTGACTAACTAGCCTGGCTTTTCATCTCTACCAGAAAGGTACATAAGCGAAGACTCAGCATTATCCGGCACTTCTCAGGTGACATCTACATGCAGCCGATCTGCTTTTGAGCAATGTAGTGAGTTATAAAACTCCATAGAGACTGCATTTAATAAAGTACTTTAAGCTAACAGCATTTTGTAAGAGGGATTTTTCTAACTACATTTAGTAAAATAACTTAGGATTTATATTTGAAATCACAAAATCTAACACCAGTGAAAATGCTCTTTTCTAAAGCCACCCCTTTCTGTTAACAAGGATATATGTAAAATGAGAATGGCTAGTCCCAGACAGATTTCCAGTGATTGCATTAATTACAAAGGGCTTAGGAAGATCACTGGTTTGATTGATATATCAAAGTAGAATTCAGGATGAATTGGAGCTGTTCTGATAGAATCTGTGAGAATGAAAAAACCAGGAGGAGAGTTTAGGCCACTACTCAGACAGCAGTTTTTGGAAATTAAAAATCAGATGCTAGTTTATCTAAAACCCTTTCCCTGGAAAGTCATTTGGTATGTTAGTATGAAGCCCACTAGTCTAGAGTATTTATTAACTTTATTTCATTCCTCCTGTGTTCGATGTGGAAACAAATCACACAGTATTCTAAATGAAGGAAGTTATTATTAAAGCTCTATAAAACTATGATAGAAGGGATAAATTTTGTTTTTTAATTCGAAGACAACCTGAGGATTGAATGTTACTACCTAAGGAAGAACAAACTTGAAAGAAAGCTCTCATGCCCAAGGTTGTGGTTTAGACTTAGTTGAAAAGATATGAAGAGTGTTGGATGGCTGTGTTGCTTAGGCCAGAATTATTTCAAAACTGGACAAGCAGAAAACAACAGCCTCTGGGTACAGGTGAGGTTTGGCAGGTTGGCATGCGCACAGGAGGAGGAGGAAATGCTACCTGGGTGGCAATGGGTGGCCTGGAACATCTGTTACTCACTTTGGGAGGGCCATGGAAACAACCTGCAGGGAGTTAGAGTGCCACTGTGGGCTTGAGGTGTCGCGTGCAAGGTCTGTGTCACAAGGCCTGTGGCAAGAAGGTCATTTGGAATGGCTGGCATGCTCAGGGACTGTATGCTGTAGCTGCACAGCACCTCAAGATGCCCTCACCACACACACACTGGACCATACACTGAACATTGGCCAGTGGACCACACAGAAGCATAAAATAAGCACTAGAGCAAGAAGGAAAAG